CCCTCCCCTCTCCCAGCCACATCATTTCAAAAACAATTAACAGACTTTTTAAAAGAGTGGTTTTATATTTCCAGAAAAATTGAGCAGAAAGTACAGACTTTCATATTAGTAAAATCTTGCATTAAAGTGGTGCATTTGTTATAATTTATGAGCCAGCGATGATATATTATTATTAACTAAAGCCCATATTTACATTGAAGTTTGCTCTTTGTGTCGTGGGGTTCTGGGAGTTTTTGTTTGTTTGTTTGTTTGTTTTTTAATTTTATTTATTTCATTCATGAGAGACAGGGGGTGAGAGAGGCAGAGACACAGATGGAAACTTTTTTTTTTTTTTCGCTATTGGGCCTTTGTGCTCGCCAGACAGACCGAGAGACAGAAAGCGAGAAATCACCCCCCAGGGGGGATGGTCACGCCGCAATCCCTTCTCCTCCATTCTCCTCTCGGGATCTTGGGCACACACGCACACGTGCCTGGTGTGAGTTTTAAGCCACCGGGTCCGGGACGTGAACCGTGGTTGACTACGTGGGAGTCCAGTGACATAGCCATTACACTAACTGCTGGTTCCCAGGTTCTGTGAGTTTTGACAAGTTCAGAATGTCATGTATCCTATGACTATAGGATCATACAGAATTGTTTTACTGCCCTCAAAATGCTTCATGTTTCACCTATTTATCTCCCTGCCCCACCCTACAACTTAGAAATAACTTTTATTGCCTCATTTACCTAGCTATTTTAACATGCATTTATTTTTAAAATTATTTTATTTATTATTATTATTATTTAACTTGACCAGACAGGGAGAGAGAGAAAGAAGGTGAGAAAGCAAGCCACCAGGTCCAGGACTTGAACTGTGGTTGGCCATGTGGGAGTTAGCAGTGCCTTAACCACCAGGCTACCTCTTGCCCCAAGGCAGGAAGTTCTTGATGTTATAAACCAGCCAACACCAGTGCCTTAACCACCACACCACCTGCCAGCCCCCATACATGTATTTATTTAATTTCTTTAATTGCCAGAGGGCCCATACGCTTGACAGAGAGAGACAGAGATAAAGAGAACGAGAGGGAGAAGGAGAAAGCAACTCCTCATGGAGTGTGGTCATGCTGCAATCTCCATTTCTCAATCCTATTGGGATTTGGGGAACACATTGTTTTTCAAGCAATCGAGACAGGAGTTGAACTGTAGTTGGCCATGTGGGATCCTGTTCCCTTAACCAATACGTTGCGGAGGCAGCCCCATTTCACGTGCATATAAGAACTTTATTTTTTAAGTATATCTATTTATTTATTCCTTGATGGGGAGAGAGAGAGAGGCAGAGGGAGGGAGAGTAAGAGGCAGAGGGAGGGAGAGTAAGAGACAGAGAGAGTGAGAATGAGAGACAGACTCCCCCAAATATTCCACAATCCACCCCCTAGATCATAGTCAAGGAAACCAAGGCTAGAGGCGTCATGGACTGTGAGTCAGATGGTCAAGTGGCTCAAAGTGGGAACACTTTCAGTCCTGTCTTTCTCCAAAAGCCTTCCAAGGCCCTTTTCCCCTTCTTCAATGTTGAAGATTTGTTTGTGTTTGAGGGTCATCTCAGGAAAATCAAAACATGTGCAGGTCATGTTTTTTGAGGGTTTTTTGCTTATTTGTGTTTTTTCAAAATAAGAAAATGAAATCTCTGCAATTGCACTTAAGCATTCTTTTTTTTTTTTTTTTTTTTTTTTGAGAGGTTTTTACTATAGGGCGCATGCACTTGCCAGGCACACAGAGAGAGACATAGAGACAGAAAGCGAAAAATCACCTCCCAGAGGGGATGGTCACGCTGCAATCCCTTCTCCTCCATTGTCCTCTTAGGATCTTGGGCACGCACGCACACACAAGCCACTGGGTCCGGGACGCGAGCCGCAGTCGACTACGTGGGAGTCCAGCGAGATACCCATTACACTAACTGCTGGTTCCCATGCATTTAAGCATTCTTTACTTAACCCATTGAAGACTCTGGGATGTCGTTCTGTTTTTGCCAAAATATCAGATACGTGTGTTATGGTAGCCATGTATAACTGCACATTTCAACACAGTTTGCCATTGAATAACCTGATTTATATTTTTTCCCTTGGCTGATCATGTAAACGCTAATTAAAATGTGGCTTTTCTCGTAATATCAGAATTTCAGGAATGACTTTTTCCCCCCATAGTAAATGTGATGAACTCCAACATCTTTAATGTAAGATCATTCCCTACTCCACTTGCTTTGAAACACATGGTCTTATCAGACAACTTCTCATTTTGGTGTTAAAGATTTAAATTCTGTTGAGAAAGTGGCTCATTTTTTTTTTTGCACATCACCACCAGTCTCAGACCAGAAAACTGTGTGTCCTTTCAGATGGCTGCTGACAGGCTGTCACCTGATGCTCACCTGCTAAATCTCTGTATCCACACACAGCCGGGATAAAAGTGGTTTGGGGAGTGGGAAGCAAGCCCTAACAGAGCAGGGCTGACTGTGCCTCTGTTTCTGTACAAGGAGTATAAAGGCCTCCCGGAAATTGGGGAGAAGGCGGTCTGCATGTGGGCAATGAGTCTTTTTGCGTTACTCACCAGTCACTTAAAGAAAGTAACTCCACGAGCAGCCGAAGAGAAAGTGTGACAGGCCTACTCCAAGATAGGGCTGTGGGGTAGATTGTGGTAGGGAGGTTTCTTGAATAGGCACATAGACTTATAGGAGCCAGCCTCTTCCGTCTACGTGCCCACTCTGCTCTTTCCTAACCTGTGATCTTAGACTAGTACTTCCTCTGTGCTTCAGTCCCCTTGTCTGTAAAATGGGGTAATGGTGAATGATTAAGCATCATGGAGACACCATTATTATGGGGGTTAAATATGTAACATGCTGAGAATAGTGCCTGACACAAATGCTTTTTTTAAAACTTAAAGAATTGTTTATTTATTATTTTTAAATTATTTTTAATTTGCTATAGGGCATATACTCTCACCAGAGAGAGCCAAAGAGAGAGAGAGAGAGACAGTCAGACAGACAGACAGACAGACAGAGGGAGAGAAGGAAAGTGAGAAAATCAGCCACCAGGGCTGGGAGTTGAATTTCAGTCAGCCATGTGGGAACCCAGTGCCTTAACTACCATGCCACCTGCTGGTACAATGCTTGCTTTTTTTTTCTTTTAAAGAATTATTTTATTTACCTTTATTTATTTATTTACTTATTTTAAAATTTGACCAGAGAGAGATAGTGAGAGAGAGAGAAGGAAAGTGAGAAAGCAAGCCACCAGGTCAAGAACTCAGACTACAGTCAGCAATGTGGGAGTCCCACGCCATTGACCTCCATGCCACTTGCTAGCCCAGTTGATGTTTGCTTTTCTTAAAAAATGTTTTTTGGCCACAGGATGTGTGCACTCACCAGGGTGAGACAGAGAGATAGACAGACGGGAAGTGGAAAGTGCTCCTCAATGGAGCGTGGTTGCCCATCCTGTCAGGACTCTGGGTATGCATGCCTGGTGTGTTTTTTCAAGCCATTGGGGTTGGGATTTGAATAGCATGGTCAGCCACTTAGGATCTGGCACTTGCTACTTTTACTATGAAAGAAATAGGATTCAGATTTCATTTTTTTTTAAAAGTTTATTTATAAGGAGAGAGATAGAAAGAGAAAGAGAGAGAGAGAGAGACCCCAGAAAGGGTCTTTCCACACTGTAATTCTTCCTTCAGCCTTCCAGCCGGCTAGGATAACCAGTGGGGCCAGACATGTTCAAGATGACCCCAGGACCTGAGCCCTAGATATTCCCATATGGCTCCAGTTATCATGCAGATTACCCTACTGCCTTGAACGGGCTGGATTTTATTCTTTTAATACCCAACTTGGTTTAGCAAAGGCCTTAAAGCATCTGGATAAAGTTTTGGCCCATTTTACTCACTCTTTTGGTGAAATCTCAGCTCCATGCAAAGAACCCTCTGAGTTAAAATTCCTTAGCACAGCATTTTCTAAGGGTGTGGGACACTTGGACAGAGAGTTTTGCAGAGTTTTTGATAGACATTATTTTAAGAGTTTTGGAGTTAGATAAAGTTTGGCAAGCATTGGGTTAAACAAGGTAAATAGGGTCCCATATTTCAGGACTTCTCGTACAACCTAATTTATTAAATACAGTGAGAATATTTGTGCAAAGTTATAATATTGAGGACTTTGCAAGCTGATTTGGCCAAGGAACCCTTTT